TCGACCTCCGACACCAAATCCGAAATCTGCACTCAAGCTTATTTGTCAAAACCATCGAATCGCACCGAGAAGTGAGAGCCGATTCACTTGTAACTGGGAAAACTGGGTTGGTTTCTGTGTGGCAAGCACTACCTCCAAATGGCCTAAATACGGTCTAGACGAACAACACCATCTTATGCACCCCCGATCCCTGGCATGCGAGCTTAGCCACTGCCTGCGCCTGCTTTCTTCGCTTCCACGGCGATTCGGCTGCATCGAGCTTGTCGGCACCGGCATCGGCATTGCTCGACTCGGTGGGCCCCTGCATCTGGTGCTTGGCTTGTAGTGCAAATTACCGACTCGACAGAGTTAGGGCAAGCAGGCTAGCAACTTTTTCGGCGTGTACGGCTTACGACCCAGCCTAAATCCTAAACCCAAAGAGCCCAATTTATCCCAAATGGCCTAAATACAATCAAGACGAACACCATCTTATGCACCCCCGACCCTAACATGCGAGCTTTGCCTCTGCCTGCTGCATCTTTCCGCTCGGCGATTCGGCTGCATCGGGCTTTTCGGCACCGGCATCGCTCTGCTCGATGGCCTGGGGCTTGGCTTGTAGAATTACCGACTCGACAGAGTTAGGGCAAGCAGGCTAGCAACTTTTTCGGCGTGTACGGCTTACGGCCCAGCCTAAACCCTAAGCCTAAACCCAAACAGCCCAACTTGTCAAATATAAAGACTAATCCGGAATCCGGACATGCAGTAACGGTCCGAGCCCGAGTCCCAGTATGACGAAGTATACTGTAATGAAGTATGGTATATAGATTCTATTAATGGCATATGTATACATTATGTATATATATATATATATTGGAACCCAAAACGGCCCTAAAATTAAAGCCTAAACCCTAGACCAGAATGCAAGAGCAGCACTTGGCAGGAAGAGAATCATAAGAGACCCAAGACCCAAGGTTTAGGTTTGTTGATTTCCAAACCCAGGTAAACTGTAAACTCGAGTCAACTCGAGTCCCAGCACACCCCTAAATTAGAACCCGGAACTTTTGCTCCCGCAACCGTTGAACCCGAAATAACCCGAAAGCATTATCCCAAGAGGAACCATAAGAAACCGCAACTTCTGTCTAAACCTAGACGCCAAATCTTTGTGGCAAGCTGCTTGCATCCTACCGCCCTACCTGATGCAGATGACTTGAACTGACCGAGGTCCCGAGGCCCACGCTACAGCCCACTTAAGTCCTAAGTCCCCCGTCTCAATTTTCAACGTCGAACCTTGTCCGCGAACTCAAGGACGGCATCCAAGATGGGCAGACTGCGCTTGGAATCGATAGCTTCCTGTCGCATCGATCTGAGTCCGCTGGTGTCCGCTGCGTCGATAAAGGTCAGCTTCAAGCCCACGTTGTGGTCCTGTGCGTCTGTCTTCTCTGCAACAATGCACGCTGCAGGGATGTAGATCCATTCACCAGGGTCAACGGTCGCGTACCAGACCTTGTCTGGCTCCGCCAACGAAAGCTCCACACACTCGTCATCGGATAGGTGCATGAAGCGGCTCTGCAGCTGAACGAACAAGATCTTCTCGCGGTCCTGCTCCTTTTTGTGCTGCTCTTTAGACAGCAGCCATCCTCTGAATGTCTCGGCCGGGACGATCACAAG